CCCCAGATGCTCTAGGCAGCATCTTCCTTGGACGTTGTGTGGCCAGGAGCTAGGAATTCGGAAGATGGGCACCCCTGTAGACGGCTGCAGGTGCAGAGTGTGTGCCCGGGAGGCCCCTGTGGTCCTATCAGGGGGCCTGTGTAAGGCAGATGGCCCTGGGTGTGGAAGGAGCCCAGGCCCCAGGAAGGCTCTGTGTAGACTGTGTGTGGGGCTGGCCCCTCTGCCGACTGAGGACGCCTTTCTGTTCTGTTACAGCGCTGTGGCCATCTCCCAGCCTCGACTCCCAGGGACCCTCCTCTGTCTGAGGATTTGCAGCCTCCCAACGACCCCCCTCTCTGTGCTGCAGCCCACTTCCTTCCAGGAGAGAAGCCTCCCCCCTACACTCCCTGACACACAGGGGGTAGATTGAAAAATAGGTTTTTGGTTAAAAAAGCAGCCGCTACAAACCCTGCTTCTGTGGCCAACCTCCTAGAGACGTCAGGGGAATGTTCCAGAAGTCCACACCCTCTCTCCCCTCCTGGCCGAATCCATGGGCAGAGAGGCCAGGACCAGTGGTGGGGATGGAACCCCAGGTGACTGAGACCCCCCAGGCTGCACCTCTGCTCGGCCACCCAGCCCAGAGTGTAAGCTGGACACTAGACAGATCCAGCGTGTCCACCTGGAGCCCCCTTGCTCTGGTCCTCTGTCATCGCTCGCTAAAAAGCTGCTTCCTCACTGTCCTCTTAATGAGTTAGTTATTATTTTGCAAAGGGAATACGGCTCAGCATACCCTGTGTGAGGATCATGTTTCAAGGACATGTGTTGTATGTTCACATGTTTATATGGTGTCCTCAAGAAGTGCATGTCTCCATGCTCAGAGCTGTGTTCTCTCGGCATTTACTTGCTGGGGATAAAAAGATGCTTTGGCTCAAATTCCAGCACTGCTTGTAAAGTGTGTGTTCGCTGAGGTCTGTGCACGCTCCGTGTCCAAACCCGCCGTCCCACCTGCAGAAAGGCTTGCTATCCCAGGCCACCTGTTTCCTACTCAAGGCATCCGGACTTCTGGCTGCCGCATGTGGGGTCCCCCTTGCCTGCAGGGCAGATGCCTCTAACTCCAGCCTCTGTGTTCCGAGTGACCCCTGGGGTGCGCAGCTCCTGAGGCCCTTCCACAGAGCCTGGAGTGAGCTCTGACTTACGGACCAGCACTAGTGACCGAGGCACCTGGTGCAGCCGGTGGGCACACCCCTGGGAAATGACCAAATCCTGGTTGAGTGACAGGCCCGAGTCCTAAAGTACAGTCCTGGGTCACTGGGGAAAAGAGATAAGTCAGTGGGAGGGGGGGTGTGTGGGAGGGGCGACAGGAGGGGGAGGGCGAGGGGGAGGGAAGAAAGGAAAAAAAAGGAGAGGCTGGTAAGGAGCCGCGGTCTCCGGCCCCCCCTGCTGGCTGAGAACGCAATTCGAACAGACCTTATCCTCAGCCTGGTGCAGAAACGCCTCATCCTGTTGTCTGAGGACACGGAAAGCTTTCTCTGCGGAAGGTGCCACCTGTGTGGTGTGCGGGCGACACGGTGGGCCAGGCCACGGAGCTGGCTGGTTGGCTTGGTTAGAACGGCAGTTTGCTCGGAGCCGCCTTTGGCTACTGTGAAGTGAGGCTCCTGCACCCTGACCGGGTGGTGGCCCCGCACAGCCCTGCGCAGACTTCCTCCTGGAGGGGGGAGGCGGTGCCCACCCTCGGGGTTTGCACCCCGGAAACAACAGCTTTGTCCTTCAAAGGAAGTCCCGCTTATTAGTGGCAGGCAGGAAACAGGGCCGCGTCCTGGCCCGCAGGCAGCCTGCACTGGGGGATCTGAGGAACGGACACAGAAGGGGGGCCCGGGCACCAAGGCCTGAACCCCAGGCCTCTGTCTGCAGCTGCTGCATCTGGGGCCCCCCTCATCTGCCTGGAGTTTAGGAGCCAGCACGGTCTGGCCAAGTCGGGGGGCCTTGGCAGTCTGAGGGGTTGGACCCACTTGGTGAATTCTCTGCCGTGTGGGTGCCTGCATGGGGAACAGAGGCTGGCCCCCAGCCCTGCCCCCCACCCCCCCAGCACCCACTGGGCCTGCGGGCTCATGTGTGCCTCCCTGGGCCTGGGGCTCCTGCCTCATCAGGACCTGCCCTGCTTGGAGGCCGCAGAGCCACTGGGTGGCCCACGTGGCCGCAGGCCGGTGTCGACTGGAGCCGGGCCGCCAGCTCCAGACGGCGTCCAGGTGCCATGAGACACAGGGACAGCGTGTGACCTCTGCGCTCGACCCGGTTAGAGCCACGTGGCTGTGTCACTGGTTCCCAATATTGTTGATGCCAGCGTCACCCAAACAGCTTCTATCTGCCCTGTGAGCCCTAAACTGATAAAATCTATCAACTCCGGGGCCAGCGGTCTGGCTCTTGCCCACAGGAATGTCTTCATCCTGGGCCCTGGCCACAAAGAATGTGGACAATTCAACTCCCAGCCTGGTGGTGGCTTCAGGCTGCCCCTCAGTCCCCAGGACAGCACCTCACCCCTGCACGCTGAATGTGTCCCCACCTGACACCCCCCCCCCCCACCAGTCCCCAGGACACCTCCTCAACCCTGCACATGCCTGCCGGTGCCTGGCCTGCAGTGCGTTCTGGGTACCATCCCCTGAGAGAACCCACCTCCGCCAAAGACTTTCCCTTTACGTGGACAGACCCTGGCCAGTCTCTGCCTGAGCGTAGATGCTTCGTGGGACCTGGCCTGGCAGCTCTGATGGGGTGGGTGTTGCTGGGGCCTCTCCCTCAGCCCCTCCCTCTACTGAGCTACCACACTTTCTCGAACACTGACTACTGTTGGCACTCAGCAGACCCCAGCTGGAGGCTGGGTACAGGGCTCCCTGTTGGTGTGATAGAAACGTTCTGGAACCAGATGGTAGTGATGGTTGCATAGTCTTGTTAATGTATAAAACCCACTGACATGTACGTTGTTGAAGGGGGAGTATTATGGCATGTGACTTGTATTTCAGTGAAAAGGGGGCAGAAAAGTACAGTATCAACCCACGCGAAGCACGCGGAGCAGAGCCAGGAGTGTGGCACGTGCCTGGTTCACAAGAACAAAACCCTCATCACCGTGAAGAACGACTCTTGGCTGAGCAGATGCCCTCCGAGCTGCAGGGGAAATGCTCGGCCGAGCTGCCATCTGCCCTACAGAAAGAGGAAAAGGTCTAGGAGCAGAGGCCTCGTTCAAGTCGTGGCTTCCCAGGTGCCCACGTTACATGTGCAGGTGTGTCCTCTTCCCGTGTCCTACCTAAAGCCATTGAATTATGGAATTTAATATACACGAAAGAATGCTTAACACAAACGTATAAGGCGGTGCTGCTGACACAGAAGGGATAATGAGACGGGCCAGGAGTTCAGGCGCCCCAGAGCCCAGTTGCTCCCTCCTCTGCCCCAGTGCGGGATTTTGTGTGGACATGTTTCCAACTCCTTTGGGTCAATGCCAAGGAGCGTGACTGCTGGACTGGGTGCTAAGAGTGTGTTTGGCTTTGTGAGAAGCCCCTGGACAGTCTGGCGAGGCGGCCGCACCATTCCGCACTCCCAGCAACACAGAGCAGGGCTCCTCAGGGCGCTGTGTGTGCAGCGGGGTCCTCGTGGGTGTGCGACAGGGTCTCCTGGTCATGTCCGTGTGCCGTCCCTGTCCCCGGACGGCGAGGAACGCTTCTCGTGTGCTCAGCTGTCAGCTGCGTGCCTTTTGGGGTGTCTGTTAGGGTCTTTGACCCATTTTTTAACGAGTTGTTTTATTGTTGAGTTTTGAGAGTTCTTTGTATATTCTGGATCTCAGTCCCCTACCAGATGTGTCTTTTGCAAATACCTTCTTCCCAACTATGCTTGTCTCCTCCTTCTGATGCTGTCTTCTTCAGAAGTCTTTGTTGGAGCCCAGCTTGTCCATTGTCTTTCACGGATGGTGCCTTTGGTGCTGTGTCTACAAAGTCATCACCGTGCCCAGGCCACCCAGGCTGTCTCCTGTGCCCCCATCCGGGGCGCTATACTTTTGCCTTTTCCGTGTAGGTATGTGATCCACTCTGAGTTGTGAAGGTGTAAGGTCTGTGTCTGGATTCATTTCTCGGCACGTGGACGTCCAGACGCTCCCGTGCCATTTGTGGAGGGGACTGTCTATATGTCTATATGGGTTCCTTTGCTCCTTTGTCAAAGACCAGTGACTGTGCTGATGTGGGTCTGTCCATGGGCTCTCTGTTCGCTCCGCTGACCTGTCTGTTCTTTCGGCAGACCCAGCCTGTACTGACCGCTGCAGCTTTGCACAGGTTTTGAAGTCGGATAGCCTTGGCCTTCTAACTTGCTTCTTCAAGTTCTTGATTTTTAGTGTAGCTGAAGTTTTACATCTTTTCCTGTTATTGGAGCATTTTGTGTTTTAAGAAATAGTTCCCTACTTCAGGTCATGGTAATACTCTTCTGTCACAAGGCTCAGACTAGTCCGTGTAAATGGCCACAGAGTAAACATTGCTGGTTTAGGGGGCCAGGAGGTGTGTGGCAACCACTCGGCAGTGCCATTGGGGAACAAAAGCAGGTGTAGACATGTGGCTGTGTTCCAGTGAGCTTTATTAACAGAGAGAGAGGGGTGGACCACACTGGGCCCACAGGCTGTAGTTTCACATTTCTAAGTGCTTTATAAATTACTTTTAGATTTAAATATATTCTCTACCTTGTGTTATGTGAGATGGAGGTAAAAATTTCCTTTATCTTTAATGCAGTGGTTTCAACAGGGATGATTTTGCACCTGGGGGACATGTGGCAGTGTCTGAGAGGGTTTTCATGGTCATGAGTGCTGTGGCCAGGCCGGGGGGTGCAGCCAGCTCCCAGACAGCAGGGATGCCACTAAATGACCCAGAATAGCCCTGCTCGTAAATAAGACTCCCAATCAATAGTATCCTAAACACACAGAACAAAAAAACAAAATTATTGTGGCTCTTCTCATTAAAAGCAAAAAAGCACCTTAGACCATAAATGTGTAGACAGCATAATCCATTCCTCACTCTATCTCCATGGTGCAAAATCAAGTGTGTCCTATCCTCCTCCATGAGGCAGATTCAGGCTCATCCAGCCCCACGTCCATGGCCCACAGTCGGGGTCCCCCCAGCCCCGCGTCCACGGCCCACTGTCAGGGTCCCCCCAGCCCCGCGTCCATGGCCCACTGTCAGGGTCCCCCCAGCCCCGTGTCTGCGGCCCACTGTCGGGGTCCCCCCAACCCCGCGTCCACGGCCCACAGTCAGGGTCCCCCCAGCCTCGTGTCGGTGGCGCACAGTCAGAAGGATGGAGCTCCGTGTGCTGCAGACCCCTCAGCAGCTGGCCCGCCTGGACTGGGCAGAGGTGAGGACACCAGTCTGCCGGCACAGCTGGGGAATGCACCCTGCCCTCAGCTCCATGCTGCTACCTATGGGCTTGTTCTCGGCAGCAGGGGTTCTGCTGGTGTAGTCTCAGGAAACACATTTGTGCCCATGTCTCCCTGGACAGAAGAGGACTCCGTGGTGGTCAGAATCCCCCTGAGCCATGGCCTCTGTTGTGTGTGTGCTCTCAGCTCTGGCTGCCCTGGTCTTCTCAAGAGATTGGGGCTGGCTCGGGAAGCATTCCACAGGAACATTCCAGAGCTGCCTCCACGGTGAGGGAAGCCAGACAGCACCAGGGGAACGGTGCAGTGACAAGCCGATCCGGCCCCAAAGCTACTTTGGGCTCCCGGGGCCTCATGAGACCAGCTGGTGGGCAGTATGGGGCTCTCCTGGGGGCGACAGGCAGAACTCGTTTTCCACACTGAGAGTCGCTGGTGCTGGGGTCGTCTGGCTTGCAGGGGTGGTGGTGGTGGGGGCCTTCCTGCCTGTTGAGCAGGCAGGGTCCAAGCCTTGGTTGTCCTGGTCAATGCCAAACCCCCAGGAACTGAACTCTCACCCCCCAGATGGACGGTGTCTCCAAGTCCTGGCCCAACCAGCTCAGCCCCACCCGACCACCTGCCCGTTCCAGAGCCGCGGATGGACTTGGGGTCCCCATATGGTGCAAGCTGGCATGCTTGTCCACCCTGGTCACAGACCACAGAGCAGCCCGTGGACACGTGGCCTTCAAGGTCACGGTTCCCCCGCATCCCTTGTTTCCCATGTGGAAACCTAACTGAAGAGTCTCAGACTAGTTTTTTCAAGTCCTGAGTCAACAGAACTTGCGCCCTGATGCTGCCACTCAGGAAAACAACAGAAAGGACGCAGCCGGGAGGGCAGTGGTGGTTGGGCCGGGGGGTCCCAAGGACACAGTGAATGTGCTGGGACTAGTGGCCACCCTACGTGGCCAGGCCTGCCTGCCAGAGCCTGTGGGCCTTGCCGCGTCCTTGCCCTGGACCTGCAGCCTTCTGCAGTTACCTCCAAGGTGAGCTTGGTCCGGGGAGGGGTCCCTGCGGGCAGGTGTCTGTGATGGCCATCAGCTCCCTCACTGAGTCCTGGAGAGCCCTCCAAGGGCAGGCCAGCTGTGGATGCACAGGGATACTCCCCCTGCCCTCACCAGGGTGCAGTGGGGGGTCACCCAGCTTGCCAGTCCAGCAGGGACTCCCGGCACAGTGCTTGAGGCCATAACGTTTTCTAGAAATCTGGAAAGAGGCCTCTCTGCTTCCAGTGGTGCACGGCTCACTTTGCCTCTCGTGTGATGATCACTGAGCCCTGCTTCCTCCGGCTTCTCTTGCTTCTCTCTGGGTCAGGTGGTGACTTAGACTCATTCGACACAAGAGACCATTCGGTGCTCGGCTGATAGAGCTTTCAGGGATCACTGTGTCCCAGGGAATGACAGGCTGGGGGACCCTCGGCTGCCATCTGCAGGGTAACATGTAAAAGGAAACCCAGAACCTGCCCCACAGCCCAGAACATTCTCTGGTGTTTGGTGTTTGAAGAAAAAAAATCTCAGTCTTGAGGAGACTGTCATTGAGCACGACGCCCAGTGGACACTGAAAACGTCCCTGGCACATTCTGCATGAACACCACATGGCCACCGGCCACGGGGCGGGCGCCCTCCGGTGCAGACAGACATGCTGTAGCCCTAACCTTGGGGCTGCTCTCCGCACCCCCACCCCCGCCAGGCCTCGGTGACCTTGGTGCGTGCTGACAGCTCTGGGGCCCCAAGTGTGTTTTCCAGGGGGGGTCTTCCTGGGCTCAGTGGGCTAGGGGTCATCGCCTCCACTCCATCTCCTGGTGCCAATTCCAGCAGCCCCACCGCAGAGCAGGGACCTCCCAGAATAGAGAAAACAGGGATTCCCTTTACATACAGAGAAAGAGGGAGGCTCAGAGGTGAATGGGTTTGTCTGGGGGAAAAGCAGCAGGTGCTGGCTGACCTTGATGCTGGAGGAGTGGCCAGGGCCCCCTGCCTCTGCCTGGGCTGCATCCACGGCACAGAGAGCAAGGTGGCAGCTCCCAGAGCCAGGGGTGGTTGAGGGGTGGTGGAGAGGGCACCTGGGGCAGAGGCTGGCACTCGGGACCCTGTGCCGCTGATGCTGGCTGCCAGGCACTAATGGGCAAAGACTGGAGCTGGCAGCACAGTTAGAAACGGTTCTGTAGATGTTTTATTTTTCCATGTTTTCAGGCCAGAAAGAAGCATTTGGTAATAAAAATAACAGAATTATTTTCCTGGGTCTGCTCCGGTGAGCGCCAGCCTCCTGCCTCCGGCCTCCCGCTAGGAGGCTTTGGGGGTTGGGGCTGCAGCTTCGGGTCACTAATACTAGTCCCCTCAACTATTTACACGTATGTTACAAGGCAAAGAACAGTCTCGGAGAAAGCGGCCTGCAGGGGTGCGGGGTCCGGAGAGGCTCACGCGGGCAGGTGGGTGGGGTCACCGCAGCCTTCTCTTCCTGCTGCTCTAGGGGCTGGCCTGCTCGACGGGGGGGCAGGAGTGTGATGTGATGTCACTGTGCTTGTAGGCGGCCTCGTCCAGGTCCAGCGTCTGCTGGTTGACCTCCAGGGTCATGCAGCCGCGGTAGAAGGCCGTGACTGGCGCTGAGGTCACAGGCACGTCTGGGCCAGTGGGGAAAGAACAAACAGCATCTTAGCAGGCGAGCCACCCGTCCATCTGGAGCCTGGGCGGCCCACCCACCACGTCCCCCGCCTCGCTGCTGCTCCCAGGCACCCCTGGGCCCTTCTCCGTCCTGGCCTTTTGTCCTCAAGGGCATGGATTCCTTTCTGTCCAGAACAGCACCAGCTCGGCCAATGCCCACAGACACCACTGAACACCCGGCCAGGTCCCCAGGAAGTGCACACGAACAGTCACATCAGTAAATCAGTGTTATCTCCTTCTTGGCCCAAATGAGTCACTCAGGCTGCGGGGTTCCCAGTCCATCGTCTTCAAGAGCTTGTTTGTTAAAACTAAATGGAGTGTGTGTTTGGCAGCCAAGGCAGGAATCGTGCATTCTGCACAAAGGAGAACCTGCACTGGGCTGTGCGGGGGCGCACGTCAGCCTTTCAACCACCTTTCTACCACTTTGCCCCGATCACTTGGCTCACGACCACGGGCAGTCACGTTCTGCCTGGTCAGGAACGGGTCCCCAGTCTGCAGGAGGTGGCCGTATGCCAGCACTTCCTGGGGTACAGAGGACTCTGTCCCCAGAAGCTGCATGTTAGGACAAGGAGGCGGGTTGGTGAGGGCCTTGGCCAGAGCCTCTGTCTGACGCATGCTCAGGTGGGCGCTCTTGGAGGACACAGGTGCAGCATGTTCAGGCTGACACCCGTCCCCACTAAGCATGGTCTCGGACTCAACCCCTGAACTGCCCAGCTGGTGCTGATAAACACAGCCATCACAACGCCCGTCAAGAGGTGCACCTGCATTTTTCTCTTCCTCTAAAACACAAGTTCTTTCTGGACAGAAATGCCCTGGCCCAGTCTAGAGCCAGCGCGTTGAGGACGGTCAGACAGCTGGTGTTCCTCCCCCTCCCCACCGAGCGCCCCTCCTTCCCCAAGTGCCCC